AAAAAAAAAAAAAAAAAAAAATTTAACCCATTGTCCTCCCTGTGGAAGAGAGAAGCAGCTCACAAAATAAAGTAAGGAAAACAATATAATCTCTGTCCATTCTCCTCTGTGTACAAGCTCTGGTCTCTATGGACCCAATCACTTGTCAGAGAGTGTTGTTTAAAAGAGAAGCAAAGGAAAAAAATGAGAATGAGAACCAAACAAACCTTTCCATTCCCTGGCCTGCAGCAGCAGCAGAAGCCTCCAGGTCTATGTCTACTCTCAAATAGAGAAGACCATAAACAGTCAACATACTTTCCCTGATGTTATGACACTATCAACTGATATCTGAATTCCTGCCCTGTTCCATTATGCATACTGATCAAGGCACAGACTCACATATATATACAATCCACCACGCTATAAATCCAGGAGAAAAGGCAAGGAATGCAATAAACTCCTACGCTACCTTCCATGAACAGATACCACTCGGTTCTGTTATAAAACAGGTTCCTTCATACATGGATGTTTCAGGTTGAGACCACTGTTAACATGAAGACACAGTACATGTGTTGCTAGAGGCTGCCAGAGTTTGTGAACATTTACCAATCTTAAATGCTGAATAATAGAGCTTCATGGGACTTTGGCTCCCTTTTTCCATATTTCACTTGTATTTGTAGGCTTTCGCTGCTAAACAATCTACAGTCTGCTGTCTGACTTAAGCAGAATGAAAAAGGACAATACAGCTACCATTTATAGCTAATCTCATTTTACCACTAACCAAATACAAAAGAACAGAAACTGTTTTTTTGTTCTTGGTGGGAGTAAGATGAGATTTGAGATGTTATGGAAAACAATGTCCAGAATTGAAGCGTGACATTGTAATGTGAAAGATACACCGTTTCTCATTCCCTACACACATGTACATTCTTCAGGTGGTCATGTACACTCCTAAACCTCTGACTACCCTCATTGTAGTAATGCCAGCCTATTTGCCAGGTGGTACCACCATAACCACCTATAGACTAAAGACTACCATAACCACCTATAGGCTAAAGACTACCACAGCAGCATATCCATCTAGCTCAGGCCATTCATCTGGATTAAATTTTAGATTCAGGTCAAGTACTGTGGCTCACAACTATAATCCCAACACTCTGGAATGCCAAGGTGGGAGGAAGTGTTTAAGCCCAGGAGTCCAAGACCAGCCTGGACAACATGGCAAAATTCCATCTCTACAAAAAATAAAAAAATTAGCCAGGCATGATGGTACACACCTGTAGTCCCAGCTACCCAGGAGGCTGAGGTGGGAGAATTACCTGAGCCCAGGAGGTCGAGGATGCAATGAGTAGTGATTGTACCACTGCATTCCACTGCACTCCAGCCTGGGTGACAGAGTGAGACCCTGTCTCCAAAAAAAAATAAATAAATAAAAATAAAAAAATAATAAAAATCCAGCTTTCACCTAGACATCTCTACCTGGATGTCCCAAAGGCAACCTGAAATGTCCAAAACCAGAAATCATCTTCCCTAACGTTGCTCTAGCACTGCCATCAATCACCTGATTGATCAAGTCAGTAACTGGAAACTGTTAGGCAGTATTATACAGTAGGTAAGAGTGTTCTTTGGCTGGGCGCGGTGGCTCACACCTGTAATCCCAGCACTTTGGGAGGCCGAGGCAGGCGGATCACCAGGTCAGGAGATCGAGACCATCCTGGCTAACACAGTGAAACCCCGTCTCTACTAAAAATACAAAAAATTGGCCGGGCGTGTGTGGTGGTGGGCGCCTGTAGTCCCAACTACTTGGGAGGCTGAGGCAGGAGAATGGCATGAATCCGGGAGGCAGAGCTTGCAGTAAGCCAAGATTGCGCCACTGCACTCCAGCCTGGGTGATGGAGCGAGACTCCATCTCAAAAAAAAAAAAAGAGTGTTCTTTAGAGAAATCAGAGAGATTGGAGGTTTGAATAACAATATGCACTGGCTTTGTGACTATAAGGAGTTATCAAACTTTCTGAGACTCAATTTCCTTATCTTTATAATGAAGACAATAATAGTACAAAAATCCAAATGGCTTCAGTGAGAATAAATGAAGGAATCCATGTAGAAGTGCTTGGCACAGTCCTGGAAAATAGTAAGGATTCCACAAACTCCCCCACAACATTTTATCAGTCATCAAAATCCATAGGCTTATGAATAGATGCCCCTTGCCTCCATCCTGACTGATAAGAGTTAGGATAGTGGCCAGGCACAGTGGCTCACTCCTCTAATCCCAGCACTTTGGGAGGCCAAGGCAGGAGGGTTGCTTGAGGTCAGGAGTTCAAGACTAGCCTGGGCAACATAGGGAGACCTCGTCGCTACAAAAATAATTTAAAATTTTTTCCAAGCATGGTGGTGTACAACTGTGGTCTCAGCTACCTCGGAAGCTGAGGTGGGAGGATGGCTTAGGCCCAGAAGGTAGAGGCTTCAGTAAGCCATGATTGTACCACTGCACTCCAGTCTGGGCAACAAAGCAAGATCTTGTCTCAAAAAAAAAGGATATCAAGACGTCACCAAGATTACTGCAATGACTTCTTGGCTAGTCTCCCCTAGTTACAGTAATAAACTTTCTTCATCCATTCTCCATATTATAGTCAGAGTGATATATCTCAACATTTCCCAGAGTATTAAATGGCATTAAAGAAATATTTATATTTGCATTTGAGATATAATATTACAGTTGCATTTGACACATACCCCAGAGCGTTCAGGGTAAAGTCCAAACAAGAATTCCTCTAATCTGGTCCTGTTTAATCTTCTACCACTCCTCAGTTTTATCTCTTGCTACACCTTTCCTTAGCACACTACAGTAACCTGGGACTACTTGCGTTTTCCAGAAAGAGTCATGCTTTCTCTCACTTCTGAGCCTTTATAATGCTATCCACGCTGCTTAGATGTTTTCCCTTTCCCATCTGCCCCTCTAGAACTCCTATTGTCCTTTAAGTCTCAGCTAAGGTATCACCTCCTGGGGAAGTATTTCTAGTATGTGCTACCTCAACACTATGCACTTATCTCTGTCACAACACTGCCCACACTGGTTTAAAATCATTTATTTGGCCAGG